AAGATCATGCAGTCAAAATCAATAATTCTAAACTTCTCCGCGTCTATAACTTTAAATAATAATACTAGTTTCAATAATAGAGCTCCTCTACTTTAAATATACTGCTGTTCTAATCTCCTTGTGTCTCATGCTAAAGCAAGAGTCTAATTAATTTTAACGATTGTCCTGTATTCTTTCATGCAGCTAAATGTGGTGTTATGAACGAATGACCTACCTAAATGTGTAAATATGACTTAATATGTCTCTGTGCGTTTGTTGCCTGTCTGTATATTTACCTTCTGTGTGTCTCATTTAGGCCAGCCACGTCTCAAATGTCCGTTAATGTCTTTCAACGTCTTTCAATGTCTTTTGTCTCAAAGTGTCCAATGTCTTTGTCTCAATGTCTTTTTCTTCTTCTTTAAACAATCACTTTCTTTCTTCTTCTTTCAATAATCACTTTCTTTCTTCTTCTTTCAATCACTTTCTCATGTCTTTCTTTGTCTCAGTGTGTGTCCTTCTCCTTCTTGTTAGGTTTACACAACGTTCCTCTCCGTGCACATAACTCCACTCGGTTTGTGCAAAAGTCTGGTTCTTCTCCATGAAATGGAGGCCGGAGAGGTCTTCTTCGAGAGTTCCTGTTAGCTGCTGCAGCCGATGCTGCACTCTTTGCTGCCCCCTGTGGGTGAAACGGGGGAGACGCAGATGGTCCGTGCTGATGGCGCCCGATTGAGGTCTTGTGGCAGACGATTTTGGCCAAATGAGACAGACAGAAGTTTTCTCGGAAAAAACAGACAAACAAGAAGCACAAACAAGTGTGTTAATTACCATACGAAACCAATGATTAATTACAATTCAAAATAAACCTATGAAATAATTAATATTAACATTTTAAACATTAAATTCTGAAAACCAATTCTGCATTCAACTGCTATCCTAAGCCCTACTTTTCCAAAAGTATAATGCTCTCTAAGATCATTCTAACTTTTATATCACCAAAATGTAGGGAAAAAAAACTTGTCCAGATAAAAATAAAAATAAAATAATGCCTCTTTATAATCTAACTCAAAGTTCTGTGATCCTATTACTCCATGTCAGTAACATTATCGTGTGTATAAATGTAATTTTCTACAAAAAATTCTTTCTTCACGAGAGAGAGACAGAGAGAGAGAGAGACAGAGAGAGAGAGAGAGAGGGGAGAGAGAGAGACAGAACGAGGGAGGGGAGGGGCCTCCCGAACAAAGGAAGCATGGAGTCAAATACTTTTCTCGTTTTTCTCGTGACAAGGTTCTAAATCAGTGGTAAAAGTTTTTCTCACGTCAAACGACACTTTACATTTTATCCTTAAATACGTCAGTAATGGAAAACATTACTATTTGCTTACATGTCCAATAGTCCCAGCAGAATCTCTTTTTTTTTGATTCTCTGTAACTATTAAACATTACATCAGAATAAGAGAAAAACTTCCATAACTGATCTTTTGTCATTTCTTCACATGAAAACTCATAGTTACAGCCAAGTGGCTCCCTTTTTTCTCATTAATCAGATCATTATTATCAGAATCCACATTTTAAATACTTGGCTTTTTTCTGTTTAAATGTACCCTTTTTTTCCCGCCCCCCGGGGGATATGGAGTTTTTATTATCCTATCACTTCTGACCCTAACTATCCCTATTTCTCTAATTCTATTCCTATTTTTTCACTAATACGCTTGTGCCTCTCTGCACGAAGGTGTGCCTCTTTTGCACTTCTAAATCCTGTGGCTCTCTTTTCAACATCTATGTTCTGTTTTTTTTGGAGGGACCCATGCTTCCCCCAAGGTTAAAACGTCTAAACCTGACTATTGTTCTATCGCGTCCGATAGAACGCCCCGTCACGGCGGTCGTCTGGCACCGCTGCAATCTGTCGAGCCAAAATCTCTCTCTCTTCTATTTAAAACAATGTGCAGATTTTCAAAACTGTGATCCGCTTACCTTAGAAGCGACCTTTTTGAAGAGCAGAGAGATTTTTCCAAACCCACAAATCCAGTCTCTATAACTGAGCTCATCTCTGTCTTCTTTCCGTATCAAATCACGTCGGGGTCACCAAATGAAGCCAATAATTCCCTTTGGCTGGCGTGTCCACAATTTGATACAGAAATCAGACAAAAAGATTCTCCAAGTTTAACATCTGCATTTAATTATCTTTACAATCAGATACAGAATGTTCAACAAAAGTGCTCCTATTCTATGCCTGCTCTTTCCCTGTCCGTGCCCTGTCCTGTCTGACCTCAAAAAACACACACAAGGGCTCATGAGGGAGACTTCCGATGACGTCATCCTTATGCGTCCAAGGGGTGGAGTTTCCGGGTGTGCTGACGTCCCTTGTCCACTGGGAGGCGTCAGAATGCAGTTGGTGAATCTCCCAGTCTGCCTCAAGATCAGGTTCTGAACTCTTGTCCTCGTCAAAATGTTTATTATTTAAAGTTAATAATTCGCCCTGTTTAAACAGCATTTTATCTTTATGACTCATGTCTGATTATCCTGTGTCCTTGGGGTTTTTCCTGAGTGCACAGAGGTCTTTCTGGCTATGATGTTCAAATGGTCAAATATTAAAATATACAACAGGCCTTTGTTTTCTTGGTTCTGCTCGTTATCTTGAAAGTTTATACGAGACAGAATACACACCACAACAACATTCCAACATCTCCTTCACAAAACTCTTTTGATGACCACTGCTGTCATTCTGATCTTCTTCAACCTCTCTGTAATGTATGCACTAAAACAATTCACTAATAGTTTAGAACTATTCTAATCTATTTACCAATATGTTTGCATCTTTGCTTTTTCTTGAGCCATATTCTTAAACATATGTTTTTTTTATCTAATAAATCTATTTCTTACTGTGTTTGCTTTCATTATCATGGCTATTGGCCTTTTTGTGGGCTTTGCTCATTTTTCCTAACACATTTTGTTGAACCGAGAAGTGCTTTCACTTCCTTCTCTCAGACGCGTTTGGGATAAGTGTACATCCGTTAATCAAATTGTATTACCGGTACAGGAGCTAGATCTATTTTAGCAGGTTTTTGGGGTCAGTTACTCTACCATGGTTAATTCGATTTACTAATCCATAATGACAAGTCGACAGCTCATAAAATTCTCAAAAATACCCTACATATCTACTTTTGTGCTATACCCAAATACATTCAAAATGCTTGTTAAATGTTTTTGAATCTCTGTTGTTTCTACATCTTTCTCATTAACTTTTGGCATTGTTAACATTCACCTATGTTTGAAACAGCGAATATGAACAGTAACAATAAACCTTTGCATAAACGAGTTAATGAACTTATATCTACTCTTTGAAGTAAATACTTTTTGGACATAAGTATGAAGTAAATGGTCCTTTTACCGTCTGATATTAGCCTTGTCTAAAAATTATTCTCTATTTTGAAAGCATCTATGGTTTATGCATTTATATATTCCTATTTTTACACTAGTGGACCTAAAGCTCTGTGTCAGCTTGAGCAATGGCATACTCCATTTTGAGTTCTGATGTAACAATAGCAATGGCATAGACGATTTTTCATTGCTGGTTCTGTATCTGCAAATCACTATTCTATGTATTGTATTTCAGACCATTCCAAAACAACACAGTCGTTCTCCAATATTAAGACATACGATCTAAATCAAGTTTGCCTGAAATGGATTTTAACTATGTTAAAACGTTCTCTACGTTTAAAGGCTATGAAATTAATTATATAATAAACGAAAAGCACATTCATGGCTTCTTCCACTGCTTATAACTGATTTATAGAGTGTCCCCAAACTTAATATGAGTATATACATCAGCTGTTTGTAATAAACAATAACATTTAACCTTTCTCCAATGGAGCTCAGAGGCTGCGTCCAGAGCAATGTTATATTTGAGCTATTTTTAGATTTAATAATTGTGTTAAAGCTGTCCGTTCCTATGTCTGCATTTTAATACTACTCTCTCAAACCACATCTGCACTAATTTCTACAGATGTGGAAAACATAAACATCTAAAATCGACTTCATTTGACTCCTTTATTTTACTTTAGTTATAGAACACATTGACCTTATTGATACTTATTTCCACAATAGACCTATTTTGATTGTATTCACTATCGAGACTAGGGAAGTTAGCTATAGGTTTATTTCTGAAACATTCAACCTTTAGCTACTCGAATCCAATGACGATGTGGGAAGGGAGTGCGAGGGCCAGACTATTCACGAGTCTATTCGATTATTATCTTTATTATTATATTAGTCTATTATCTTAAATAGTAGATCTGTTTGATGTTATAAGAGCTATTATGTACGCACCTTTGAATTTGCACAACAATAAATTTAGAATTCCCCATAATGGGGATAAAATAATGAATTTTATTTCTTTTGCATCCTCCAAAATTATTTAATACTGTGTCCCATTTTGCTTTTTTAGCACTGACCCTATCTATAGAAGGTTAAGACCATGAACTCATATGAAAAGTACTTTACTATACTCCCCTCGGTTGTCATTGGAAAAAGTATAAAAACAATTAATATGTAAGTGGGTGTTGAGAATGTTAATAATTATCACAGTTGGGTTCATAACGGATCGTCCTAAAAGTAATATGGTGGGATGTTGGTGAAATTGTTGTGGAGAATTTTAATAATTACAATAATTAGTGTTATAATGAATATGGCAGTTGTTATGTAATATGGTTATAATAAATGGAGTAAAAAAGAAAAGAAAATGGGAACTAGTATTAGAATGGGAGGAAGGGAAATATTGAATTGGGGGTTATAATTTAGGATGGGGGGGGTATTAGGGGTGGGGAAGAAGGATGTGATGGTGAATTTGTTATGTAGTGTATTTATGACAGGGGATAGGGTATATAAAATTTTGGGGTGTGAAATTAATTTGGGAATAAGAAAAATGGTAAGAGATAGAGGGGGCAAGTTTAATAAGGAAGTATTTATGATTGGGTGGGGAAGAAATGGTAGTATGAGTGGGTTGATGAGATGTGGTAGGTGAAGATGTGGTAGGGGAGATTGGTAGATGAAATGTGGGTAGAGATAGGGGTATAAGGTGATGTTTGAGGGGATGAGGGGTTGAGTTTGGTAGGGTATAAGGTGAGGGGGGTATTTTTTTGTTGTGGAAGGTATATGGTTTTATGTATTTTTTGGGGGGGTGGAATGGGTGGTAGGATGATGGTAATGGGGATAGATTATTTTATATTGTTATTTTAGTGATATTTTATTATAGGTGGGGTGGGGGGTAATGGGGGGGTTGGGTTTAGGTGGGGTGGGGTATGGTTATATGTATGGGTTAGGTTTATATTGTTTTGTTTATTTATGTGTTATTATATTGTGGTAGGGTTGGGTTAGGGGGGTGGGGGGGGTATGGAATTGGTATTGGGGGATGATGGTTGTGGGGTGTGGGATTTGGGTATGTATGGATTTATGGATTTAGGGGTGTGTGGGGGTATGTTTTGGGTGTGGGTTTTTGGGGGGGGGGGTTGTTTTGGGGGAGGGTTTGTAAGGGTTTTTTTTGGGGTAATGTGTGGGGTTGGGTTTATGTGGGGGTGGTTTTTTTGTTGTTGGTTTGGGTTGTTTGGGGGGGATTAGGGGGGGGGGTGGTTTGGGAGGTTGGTTGTTTTGTGGTTTGGTGGGGTTTTAGTGGTGTGTTTGGGGGGTTGGGTTGTGGGGGTTTTGGTATTGGGGGTTGTGGGGGGGGGGGTGGGTTATGGGTTGGGTGTGGGTGTTTTGGGGGGGTTTTGGGGTGTGTGGTTTTGTGGGGGTTGGGGGGGGGGGGGTGTGGGGTGTGGGGGGGGGGGGGGGGTGGGGTGGGGGGGGGGTTGGGGGGGGGGGTTTTGTTGGTTGGGGTGGTTGGGGGGTGGGGGTGTGGGGGGTGTGGGGGGGGGTTGGGGGTGGGGTTGGGGGGTGTGGGGTGGGGGTGGGGGGGTGGTGGGGGGGGGGGGTGGGTGTGTTTGGGGGGTGGGGGTTTGTTGGGGGGGTGGTGGGTGTGGGGTGTTTGGGGTGGGGGTGGGGTGGTGGGGGGGGGGGGGGTTGTTTTGGTGTGGGGTGGTGTTTGGGGTGGTGGGGGTTGGGGGGGGGTTTGGGGTGGGGTTGTGGTGTTGGGGGTGGGTGTGTTTGTGGGGGGTGGGTGGGGGGTGTGGGGGGGGGGGGGGGTGTGTGGGGGGGGGGGGTGTGGGGGGGTGGGGTGTTGGGTGTGGTGGGGTGGGGGGGGGGTGTGGGGGGGGGGTGGGGGTTGGGGTGGGTGGTGTGGGGGGGGGGGTGGGTTGGTGGGGGGGGGGGGGTTTGGGGGGGGTTTGGGTGGGGGGTTGGGTGGGGGGGTTGTGGGGTGTGGGGGTTGTTGTTTGGGTTGGGGGGGGGGGGTGGGTGGGGGTGTGTTTTGGGTGGGGTGGGTGTGGGGGTTGGGGTGGGGTGTTGGGTGGGGGGTTGTGGTGGGGGGTGTGTGGGTGGGTGGTGGTGGGTGGGGGGGTGTTGGTGGGGTGGTGGGTGGGGTGTGGGTTGGTGTGGGGTGTTGGGGGGGGTTGGTGTGGTGGGGGGGTGTTGGTGTGGTGGGTGTGGGGTGTTGTGTGGGTGGGGGTGGGGGGGGAAGAGATTGTTTGGGTGAAGTTGTGGGGAGAGGAGTGTGGAAGGGGGAGAGATAAGGGAGGATGATGGGGAGGTATAAAAGTTGGTGTATAGGGGGTGTGAGCTGATGGGACGGGCTGATGGAGAAAGATTGAGGAGGGGGGCTGTCGTTTTTGGAAAATGTGAAAGAATGTTGGGTGAGGAGGTATATATTAGTAATAATATGTTTAATTAAATTAAGTATAAATTTGATTTATTAATTGTATATTTTTAAAATATGAAATAATAATGATTTAACATTTTTAACTTTAAATTCTGAAAACAAATTCAGGACATGTAAACTTGTATACGCACACACCATATGTTGGAATTTATGTTATTTGGGGAGAGAGTTGTGATTGAGTTAGTTGTTGTTTTTAAAATTTTGGGTGGGTTTTAAAGGTAATAGTAAAGGGGGTTGTTTTTTGTTTTTGTTTTGTTGGAAGAGGGTGTGAGTTAGATTTGGGGAGGTGTAGTGGAGAATGGGAAGTTATTGAGGAGGGGGGTGTATTGGATTGGAGTATTTTTTTTTAGGGAGGATAGTGTGTGTGTTATTGTGTGATGTTTTGGTGTATTGTTGTGTGTTGTGGTTTGGGTTGTGTGGTGGGTATGTTAGTGGGTGGGTGGGAAGAATTATTTGGTTATGGAAGAGGGGGGGAGAGGGGTATTGGGGGGTTTGATGTGTTTTGGGGGGAGATAGGATTTAGTATATGTATTGGTGTGAAGGTTTGTATGAGGGATGTTTTATGTAAGATTATGCTTACATGAGTAATAGTCCCAGCAGAATCTCTCGTTTTTTTTTTTTTTGATTCGCTGTGACTATTAAACATTACATCAGAATAAGAGAAAAACTTCCATAACTGATCATTTCTTCACATGAAAACTCTATACTACAGCCAAGCATAGTCTCTCTTTGTCCTCATTTGAATCAGATCAGTATTATCAGAATCCGCATTTTAAATACTTGGCTTTACGTTCTGTTTAAAATATGTACCCTTTTTTTCCCGGGCACCCCGGGGATATGGAGTTTTTATTAATCCTATCACTTCTGACCCTAACTACCCTATTTCTCTAATTTCTATTCCTATTTTTTTTCACTAATATGCTTGTGCCTCACTTGCACGCAGGTAATCCCCTGTTCAGCCGCGAGCACGTGGCTTGCGTCGCGTTAAGTCCACCTCTAACGACCATCAACCTCAATAGGCACACAATAACCTCACAGGATACCTCAGTGCTAGAGGTCCGAATTTAGAACCTGCGAATGATCGGGCCTGTTTACCATGTCCTGTTTCATGGTTTGTGCTTTGGTTATGTTATAGTTGAAAGGACTGAGAACTGCATTGAAAAATATGATTGAGATTCACGGGACAGAAAATGTCACAGGAGGGCTTTGCCAGCAGAGATTTTAGAGTACAGCGTGGAAGTCTAGTAAGTAAGAAAGGATTTATTCTTTTTGTACCGTCCTCAGGCATTTTTGACTATTGTAAGGATCGCAAGTTTAATCAAAAATGGCAATATAACACCTACAATTACAAAAATGGCAATCAAGGATAGAACAATTATTGAAGTAAAATATATTTTGCCGATGTTTTTCACTCAAATATTTGCTTGAAATAATTTTCTTGTGTATGTTGCCAATAACTATCATAATAGTTCGAAGTTGAAATGTTTGCATTGTTTTTTATTATGTTTTGAAGAAGTATACAAGATTTTTTGTGGGTGGGGGGTGATTTACAATATTATCCCAAAGTTATTTTGTGGGCCTATCACAAAGAATTTATAAGATAGTTAATTTTTTTGTTTATATAAATTGGTAGATAGTTTAAATGTAAAATTTGAATTTTTTTTTTATATATGGTGGGGTGATTTTTATGGTTTATTGGATTTATGGGGAGGGGAGGAGGGTGGGTTTAATTGGGTGTTTGTTTGTGAGTTTTTGGGTTTTTTGTTGTGGTTGTTTAGGGGGGGTAGTTGGGTGGGGTGAAGTTGTTGTGGTGGTTAGTTGTGTGTTTTGGGGGGTGGAGGGGCGTGGGTATAAATAATTTGGGAGTGGTAAGGTTATGGTGTTGTATTAGAGGGGTTGTTGTGGTGGTTTGGGGGGTTTGTATGTTGGGAAAGGTTGGTTGGGATTTTTGATAATTATATTAATGTATGTAGGGGAGGGAGATTTGGGGTAATGTTGGGAGTGTGGGGTTGGGGGGTGGGGGGGGTGTGTTGGGGGGGGGGGTGGGGTTTGTGGGTGGGTGTGGGGGTATTTTTATGGGGGTGGGGGGGGGGGGTGGTTTGTGTTTTGGGGGTTTTTGGGGGGGTGGGGGGGGTGTGTGTGGGGGGTGGGGTAACGAACGTTGGTTGGTTTGGTTGGGGGGTTGGGTTTGGGTTGGTTTGGTGGGTTGGTGGGGGGGGGGGTGGTGGTGTTGTTGGGGGTGTGGTGGGGGGGGGGGGTTGTGGTGGTTGTGTTTGGGTGGGGGGTGGGGGTGTGTGGTGTGGGTGGGGGGGGGGGGGGGGGGGGGGGGGGGGTTGGTTGTTGGGGTTGTGTGGGGGGTGGGGGGGGTGGGGTGGGGGGTGTTGGGGGGTGTGTGTGGTGTGGTTTGGTGGGGGGGAATCCAGTTCTTTTACATCAGGAACAAACAAATAGACGTCGATCTCCTACCATGAGGTGGGGGCTCTTAGCTCGCCATCATAGTCCACGAGGAGGGGTAAAGGGAGGGGTGAAAAAACCTGACCTACACGAGGTCAAAGGAAAAAACCCAAATTATGACTCATAGTAAAACCCAAAGCTCTATACACACACATAACAATGAAGAAATTGATAACAATCTACAATGGGGTTTGTAAACATAATACATTATTAAACATAGTTCATTAGTCACATAATTAATTAAGTGCACTTTAAGTAAAGATGTGGCTATGTTCTAGATATCGATCAAATCAAAAGTTGCGCAACGAATTCAAATATTAATCAAAAGATCTCACTCATGATCGTCACCATGGGGTCAATGCAGAACAGTCATGGCCAAACCAAGTATACACGCCAAAACCATTCGTTCTAATTATATCCAGGACGGATTTAAACAACACAAGGTGTCCTTAACTTAATAAAGGCCTAACCTAAGATCCGGCAGGAACACAAGAATATAAATCAGTAAATCGATTTGCATTACGTGGATTTGAAACTCCACTCTGGCGTTTGTGCTGCCCGAAAAGCGGCTAATATCCGCGCGTACATCTAATGGAGTGCTCAGTGCTCGCTCGTATCAAACTCTTAACAAGTATCAGAGTAAAATGGGGTAAAACGGACTCACCGCTGAGCGAAGGAGGGATGTCCTAGCTCGAGGCAAAGCAGCGGTGATTCAGCTGAATTTATTGCAGCAGATCCATGGCAGATCAGTCGCAGCAGCGGATAGTAGCAGTAGCAAATAGCAGCAGTAGCATCACAACAGTGAGTGCAGCACCATGAGAGGGGGGAGGACAGGGGGCAGCGCCAGGTTAAAGCATCACGTCCGGTGGCTGCGTGGGTCACGCGGGATTACAACTAAGCTAAACTACGTGGGTTACACCAGGGAGCAGCCCAGAGTGGAGCCGGCCCTCCTGACCAGCTTGTTCAGTCTGCTCCTGTCCCGCTCTGTGCTTTCCGGGGCCCAGCACACAGCAGCGTAGTGTATGGCAGAGGCCACCACAGAGTCATAAAAAGTCCTGAGCAGAGGCCTGCTCACTCCGAAGGACCTCAGCCTCCTCAGAAGGAAGAGGCGACTTTGGCCCTTCTTGTGCAGGGCGTTTGTATTATGGGACCAGTCCAGTTTATTGTTAATGTGAACACCCAGGTACTTGAAGCTGTCCACCAGCTCAATGTCCTCCCCCTGGATGTTCAGCAGCGTGTGGGAAAGTGGTTTTCTCCTGAAGTCGATGATCATCTCCTTGGTCTTACTGGTGTTCAAGCACAAGTGGTTGCGCTCACACCAGTCGACAAAGTCCTTGATAACCGACCAATATTCCAGTTTGTTCCCCTCAGACACACAGCCCACGATGGCGGCGTCGTCGCAGGTGACAGCTGTGTGTGTCGTGTGTGAAGTCTGAAGTGTAGATGGTGAAGAGAAACGGTGAGAGGACAGTGCCCTGAGGGGCCCCAGTGCTGCAGACTACCACCTCAGACTCACAGCTGCAGCCGCACGTACTGTGGTCGGTCTGAGAGGTAGCTGATGGTCCATGCAGTGAGGCTACTGTCCACTCCCGCGTCCTCCATCTTCCCCCGCAGCAGTGCCGGCCTGATGGTGTTGAAAGCGCTGGAGAAGTCGAAGAACATGACCCTCCCTGCAGGCTCCAGGTGGGAGAGCGTCCGCTGCGGGAAGTAGATGACGCCATCCTCTACTCCGATGTTGGGTCTGTAGGCGAACTGCAGCGGGTCCAGGGTGGGGCTGACCACGGAGCGGAGATGGGTGAGGATGAGCCGCTCCATGGTCTTCATCTGGTGGGAGGTCAGTGCTCCATGGTATTCATCAGGAGGTCAGTGCTCCATGGTATTCATCAGGAGGTCAGTGCTCCATGGTCTTCATCAGGTGGGAGGTCACTGCGACTGGTCTGTAGTGAGCCGGTTTCTTGGCGTGCGCTGTTTTAGGAACCGGGATCACACAGGAGGTTTTCCACAGGACAGGGACCTTCTCGGCCGCACGTGTCCTGACTAAGACCAGGGGGCGGGACCACATTACATCGGTTTTTAAATCGCTGCATTGGCTCCCCGTGTGTTTCAGGGTCGATTTTAAGGTCCTTTTAATGATTTTTAAATGTCTTAATGGTCTTGGGCCTTCTTATCTTTCAGATTTGCTTTTATCCTATGAACCTTCCCGGCCCCTGCGTTCCTCCGGCAGTAGACTCCTAACCATCCCCAAAGTCAGGACACACACTCACGGTGAGGCATCTTTCCAGCACTACGGCCCCCGTCTCTGGAACAGTCTGAGGAGGAGCTCAGGGCCGCAGAGAACGTTCATATTTTTAAGAGTAGGCTCAAGACACACCTTTTTAGAGTAGCTTTTGATTAGTTTTTACTATTTCATTTTATATATTCTATTTATCTTTTATTATTTATTATATTGCTATTGCTTTTATTCATGTATTGTGTGATAGTTCCTTTTAGTTTCACATTTTAGTGTTTTACCGATTGTATTGTTATTGTATTGTTTTTAGTGTACCCAGTGTTTCCTCTGGAGGAGCCCTCTGCACTGGGAGCAGTGGTCGGCATGGCTGTGGGGGTCGGACTCTTGGACCTGGTGGGGGCCTGGGGCCTCGGTTTCGGGTCTCCTCTAGATCCTGTGTCGTCCCCTGTGGCTACAGGTGGCTCTCTGCTCCTGGTGCAGACGGCTCCTTGGATGACGCTTTTTCAGCTGGTTGCATCTGAACCCTGCCAAGTCTCTCATCATTGTTTTACTGGTGTGTGTGCGCGTGTGTGCGGGTGTGTGTTTGTGTTGCATCTTTTGTATGAAAAGCGCTTTATAAATAAAATTGGATTGATTGATTGATTGATTCTCCAGGCTGAGGCTCAGGTTGTACATGTAGCTGAGGCTCAGGTTGTACATGTAGCTGAGGACCCCAGAGAGCTGGTCTGCACAGGTCCTCAGCAGCCTGGGACTGATCTCGTCCGGTCCTGCAGATTTCCTCTGCTTCAGTCGCTGGAGCTGACTCCTCACCTGGTCCGTTGTGATAGAGAGGGGGGGGACCGGGGTGTACTGTCAGAGGTGGGGCTGGGGATGTGGGGGCAGGAGGGCACAGGGCAGCCGAAGGCAGTGTCCACTGGGCGGTGTCCACTGAGCTGGGGACGTGTGAAGAGGTGGGGGCGGGCAGATGGAGAGGGGGGAGAATCAAACCGGTTGAAATACTGGTTAAATTCATCCGCCCAGTGCTGGTCTCCATCCACTGTCCCGCTGGCCCTTTGTCCACAGCCAGAGATGTTCTTTAGGCCTCTCCACACGTCGTGGGCGTTTCCCTGGGCCAGCTTCTGCTCCAGCTTTTTCCCATAATCCTTCTTGGCCCTCCTGATCCTCCACTGGAGCTCGTGCTGGATCCTCTTCTGCTCCTCTTTGTCCCCTGAGGTGAAAGCCCTTTTCTTGAGGTTCAGGGGGGCTTTAAGCTCAGGGGTCACCCATGGGTGGTTGTTGGAAAAGCACCGCACCTTCCTAGTCGGTACAGTGTTATCTATACAGAAGAGAATGTAGTCTGTAATGCAGTGTGTCATTCTCTCGATGTCCTCACCATGAGAGCTGCAGATCATGTCCCAGTCTGTGCTTTGGAAACAGTCTCTCAGCATCTCAGCCTCTGTAATGTATAGATGGTTTTCCATCACGTGCTTATTACCCATGATGCTTTGCGCAAACGCCATGTCAGTCTGGTGTCTATTTTGTCCCCATGTCATCTAAAGCCATGAATTTGGCCGACACTGAACGTGTTAAGTATATTGATACACTGGAGTAATCTGTGAGGCAAGATCCTTTGAGAATCGGGAGATTTGGATCCATATGAAAAGCGGCGAGAACAGTGGACTTTGCCAGAAATGGCTTACTTTCACTTAACGGTTTTACAATTAAAAAAGGTCATGATGTATATGATGCAATATTTCTTTCAATCAATATTTTTTTTTTGAACGAAGCAGTTGATATCACCAGGTGATTTTCCTGGCCTGTCTAATTACAGTCTCCTCAAATATCTGCTGCAAAGATGGATGCTCCCTAACCATGACTTTAAAGGCTGTGCGCACTAATCTGTAAAGTTCTGCTTTTGTTTTAACAGTCAAATTCCCAAACCACACACCCATACCATCTCAATTACAGCATGATAAAATAGCGTCATTATTTTCTGTTCAACTCCAAAAAGTCTTAATCTCCGCAGGAAATAGAGTCTTTGTTGATCCCTGCTGCAGACAGAGTTCACGTGTACATCCCAGACCAGACTTGAGTCGATGTGGACTCCCAGGTATATATATGAGTGTACCTGTGTTACCGCTGAGCCATGGATGTAGAGCGGAGTGTGATTTCCAAGATGTCCGGGGTCAAAGATGATTTCTTCTGTCTTCTTTACGTTGATGATGAGATGGTGGTCCTCGCACCAGTGTACAAAAAGCTCCACCTGCAGATTATATTCGGTAGTGTCTGTTTTCTTGTCCATGAGTCCTAATAAAACAGTGTCATCTGAAAATTTGATGATTAAAGTGGTGGAATGGCTGCTGGTGCAGTCGTTTGTGTACAGTGTGAATAGGAGCGGTGAGCTGACACAGCCCTGGGGCGCTCCTGTGTTGATGGTCTTCATGTCAGACAGTGTATGGTTCACTCTAACCTGCTGGCTCCTGTTGGAAAGGAATGAGTGATACCATCGGATTATGTATGGGTTGACGGACATTTGTTGACGTTTTTTGAGAAGGATGTGTGGTTGCAGTGTTAAACGCTGAGCTGAAGTCGATAAACAGCAGCCTGGCATATGCTTTAGGGTGTTCCAGGTGTTGGAGAACATTACACACTGCTGTTATCACTGCGTCGTCAGTGCCTCGATTGTTTTTATAAGCAAATTGGTTGGGGTCCAACTTGCTTCCTAGGTCTGACTTCAGCTCTCTTACCATCAGCTTCTCCAGGCACTTCATAACATTGGAGGTCAAGG